CAAAATTCTCCATCATCATAATTACCCGGGGCAGGTATAATAGGCAAATCAGTGGCCGCCGTGCCGAGTGGACCCAGCTGCACTCCACCCCCCCCCACTAAGCGAATGGGACATTGTGGCATTCTTTCCTCAGATAGAGAATCTGACACATAACCTACTGGACCTGTGCTCCACTGAGCCCAAACATTTATGACAAATTCCATTAGTTATCCCACAGTTGGACAGATGTAAGACGCATATGAATGAACCCAAAGTGTAAGGAACGTCAAAGGGAACAATAAATTTAGACTAAGGCATTGCTTCAGGATTGTTCCCCATCACCTCGAAGTCGTGTGAATAGTCGTATAAACCCTCATCCAGATGCGACAGAAATTTGGACCTAGAGTGGACTAAGTAAGAGATGGCGTAATCTTAGTTGCAGCATGCCGTCATGTCAGGAAGACCGGCTCTGGGGTCCATCCAACCTCTTATCCAATGGATACGGGGGCCCCTTTCCTCCAAGGATCTATACATCCACTCCCCATACACCTTCATGGGGTAATGCTTAATTAGTTAAGCACAGGGACAACTCCCCCCCCCCTTTTGGCACTACAGCACCAGTGGGCTTAGGCCTACCTCCATGAACTCCGTTCACTTCGGTTCTTCTCGATCTTACACATAAGGTAGGACTCCTTGGAGTCGCAAGGAGGGACAATTTTACCTTTACTTTTACCATGCCGTCATGTATATTGGTTGCATAGGTGGTCTATAGTCGCTTCTGTCAAACAGCACCTTTTATAAAACAAGTTTCATATGTCAAGTATAACATGCACTATACCCGACATATAGAGGTGTCTGATGGAACTGCAGACAAAACTGCTTATTTATCCGGCATGATGAACCGAGCTCAGAAGATTTTCTGAAGATTTATATTTGTAGTTCTTTGCAGTCACGGTTTTCTGCGAGAGTTATAGTACTTAAAAACATACATCTAAAGTTCCTACAAGAACGAGTCGATTCCACAAATTTTCTTCTTAAGGAGCCTCGGCAGTTGAATTGTCTGCACTTATATGGGTGACGCGTATTTCGCGTTTTTAAGCCAGAGCTTTCTTGGGACACCTGGATTGTCTTTGAACTATCTAAGTGGAATTTAGTACAAAGATGTTTACAGCCCACTGCCGTATTCAGTGTGCTATAAACCGCAGAAAATTGAAACACCTGCAAATACTGAAGTACAAGAATAGGAACGTATCAACTACATATGACATATTTTCAATAATACGGGTCTAACAGAAAGAAAAAATAACTAGTAAAATTTGTGTATGCAAGAAAAATATTTCATGCTTAAATTTGATATTTTATGCTCAGCGTACCTTACATAACACAGGAGACACGTCTGAAGACATTTACTTTGTATGGACATGAGGCATGATCTATGTATGAAAGGGTGAAAGGTTATTCGCAAAGGAAATGAATTATCTGCAAATTGCAGAATTATTAAGAATGAACAAAACACGGGGTGTTGAAATATGAAAAACGGTTTTTCAGAAAAGGCAGAAAGGGAAAGGGAAGGACAAGAATATTAGTGGAGAGGGCGAGAAAACATGATTGAAAGAAGGGGTTCTTCAAGTTATGATTATAAGAGGACCGGAACAGATGATGTACAAGACCGAGGGGAGCTGCTTTCGGCGACGCTAAAAAGACACGCAGTCATAGTACTTAATTCTGTCCACACCGAAAAGAAGAGCCATTACAGCCACCATCATAGAAAGAAGAATCTTATCCGTTGAAAGACAGAAAATGTTGCCTTCAGAGCACAATCACCCGATTTTTTACGTCTGGAACTAAGTAAATTTGGTCCGCTTGATACACTGAGAACCACTGTTAACTGACTTCCATCGAAAAATATACAAGAGCCTGTCATATGAAAAATCATAACTGTTTTATGAAATTCGTTATTATCCTGTCTGTACCCACTGTTGAAGAAACAAGCGATTATTTGTTGGGATCCTGATGCAGTGAGTGATAACTCTGCCAGACGGAGACTGAAAGCAGAACGCAAGAAACAAAAAAGACAGTATCACACTTCAAGCTACTTGGGAAACATATTAAAAAGGAACGGAGTTGCGTGGAGGGGTGTGGTAAAACACAGAATTGTATTAATGAAAAAGCCAAATGGTTTTAGAAACACAGTGCAGACTCCTTATAACGTCCAGAACAGTGTCTGCTATGTGACTGCGCTCTGAACAGAGAGTTTTTTTGCCAGCTGCAACAGCAGCAGAAGCAGCAGCAGCATTAAGCTCCGGCTATCTAACTCCTGTCTGAGTGGCAGCAGCTGGAGTTGGAGTCCGTATTCTGCAGATCTTGGTGTCTGGACAAAATTGTCCGGGGACAGAGACAAGAAATTGGAACACACTTCACTATTTTTTTTTCTTCAAAATTTGCCATCAGTTTTACTAGGGAAGTACCAGTTTCGAATTAAAGCCTGAAGGCTGACTAAAAATTCTTCTATTTTTTTTTCTCAGGGCCTCCTCATGGTACTATGTAAGCACGAATTGTTTAATAGGACGCACTGTATTAATATTAGCGCCGGTGAAAAAATTATGTTGGCAAGAATGAAGAGCCAAAGGTTGTGCATTAGTGAGTTAAATCCATTTTATTATTACTTTAATTTAAATGTTTCTTATGAAAATCACAAACTCATAGCTAATTTTCATTCAAATGCTGGAAAATGTTGTGAGATCTTTCATTCGCCATCCAGTTCTCTACAGTACTAAGGTACCGATATTTCGGAGTTTTCGCTGCCTCAATTTTGACATCAGGGCTTAATGGTTAGCCTCTCTGTTTCTTATTCTGGAGGTTACGGTCTCTAATTTCTTCTGGCTGTTTTAATTGTTTTTATCAGTCCCTCCAGGCAAATGGTGCTATGATATTTTAAAGTAGTCTACGTCTGCTTCCTTTCATGTCCTTCCCAATTCATCACATTATAACTTGATGCTATACAGGCTATTTAGTTGAAAAAGGTCGATAAACAAATAAGGAAAGAAGATAGTTGCTATTACTGTCGAGAGCAGTCACACATGGAAAGACTTTTTACATGCAAGGTTCTCGCTTCATACCCAAATCAGAACCCTTTTTCGAAAATAACCTCCCTCCCCTCGAACGAATGTCCTGACGAATATACTCGTATGGCCGCTTCCTCCTTATATAATGTATGCTCATACGTAAGCATGCTACTGCCTTATGCTCTTTTCCACTTCTAAACTTGTACTGACTTCCTTTTGGTTAAGTGTCCTATAAAGGGCATGTATAAAAGGTAAATTTGTTCCTGTGCTTAACTGATTAAGCACTACGCCATGAAGACGAATGGTGAAGTGAATGTATAGACCCACGAATTTTTAACCTCGACACTATTTGGAGATAAGTGGTCAGCTTCACACTCCAGAAAAAGAGCTCCCGGTACCCACTGGCTAGGAAACGGCTTGGGGCCCGAAACCGTTCTGGACAGTGTAGAAAGGAGAGAAATCTTGCCCCTACCGGGGCTCGAATTCCGACCTCTCGTCCGTCAAGCCCCTAACCAGTCTCTATACCGACTGTTCTGAGAATTAATTCCCAAGCATACCAGTTACAAATAGGTCGTTTTTAAAATCAATGAATAGCGTCATACACACCGTAGGAAACTCTTTCATTTTGAGGTTTGATACAGCCATCAAAAGTAGGTGTATGGCGCTTACTTAGGTCTTCTGCGGAGTCAGTATGAATATACGAGAGACTGCTCTGCGTAAGTGCTGACACTTTGTTAGTCGGAAAGCAGTGGCGAAGCTCCGGTCTTGCTGCCGAGAATAGTTGAGAGCGTAATAAACTCTACGAAAATGATGAGCAAGCAGAGTAGAAGTTATCTGAGTCACTTTGTCAGGAATAATGTACACGTAGAAGACATAAGAAGTTTTCCTGGCTGTAGGTTCTTTCCAGGCATCCAAATCACAATTTAGTTCCTACCATTACTTGGTGTGTATGAAGGTGAGAGGAGTTCTGTACTGTCCTCAGACCAGCAGCATAATTTCATTGTCATTCGTCGGTCAGTTAAATCATTTGCTTTTACTGTACAGTATCAGATGGGATGGGAAAAACGACAATGAATAGTGAGTACGTGCTCTCGAGCGTTGCCACTATACGAGTACCATCATGCTCGGTATGTCTTTCGTAAGAAGAAATGGCGTCATGTATGAAGCGGAGATGCATCAGCCACTTAGGATCAAGTGTATCGGGGAACAAATTGATTCTTAACCCTTTAAAGACCGAATTTCTTCCAAACTAAATATATAAATGCAATCCGTACCTCACAGGAAACACATTGTGTCTCCGCTACAAAGCCCAACCGGATAATGCTGTTTGGGGAAACAGTCGCTGTTTATTGTGAGAACCATATGAAACACACAAACACACTCTGTGGGCAGAATGCAGAATTCTAGTATGTTAAACCAGGTCATGCATATAGTACCCATTAGGCTTTAAAAGGTTAAGCTTATTTTGAAGCTGCTTCAGTTACATAGCTTTTACCGATTTAAATGGGATGGGGAAATGGACATTAATGACGAGTAGTAAGAATTTGGCATTATTATTATTATTATTATTAGTAGTAGTAGTAGTAGTAGTAGTAGTAGTAGTAGTAGTAGTAGTTGGTTGAGGCACTATGCTACAAGCCGGAAGGTCACTGGTTTGAATCCCGATGGGGTGGATTTTCTTCGATTTACCTAATCCTTCTAGCCGCACTATGAACCTGGGGTCGACTCAGCCTCTAACAGAAATGAGTACCAGGAATCTTCTTGGGGGGTAAAGGGCGGCCGGCGCGTAAGGCTGACAACCTTACCGCCATCCGTGAGCCGATTGTCTAGAGAAAATGTTGGAGCCTCGACGTCTCACAACCCTATGGGCCGTCACAGCCTGGTGCAGGGATAGCTTTACTTTTACTTTTTACTACATTTCTTTTACAACAAAAGAAGTGACTTATTTCGTTCCAGCTGTGTTCATCATGTGGTGACGCGTTGTCCCAGCTTTTAGCAAGATATTGGACAAATGTTGTCTGAACTGATCGTGAAGTATGACAGACAACTACACAGTAGCCGACAGTGTTGAGATCTACTACCCTCGAGGGGCGACAGTCTTCGCCTCCGTCTGTGCCGTGCTTTTCAGCATCGTCGGTGTAATAGGCAAGTATAATCCACTGAAATCTGACAATATTTTAGCCACAGTAACAACCAAAGGACAGGATAAAGAGGAGTTCCCAGTAGACTCAGAAGAAAAGAATTCAGACAACTTACGGAATTGAGGAGTGGGTTCAACGCTAATAGGCCTCTACTGAACAATGAATTGCCTTGTCTTTTCACAAAATTTCGTGATCAGACCCTATCAAATTCTTAGTTTCATACTCTATTTGCATAACATTTTCTTCCCACCTACATCTTGGTCTCCTATGAAGTATCCCCCTTTAAGAATTCCCAATTAAATAAATTTCTCATTTCCCAATGCATGTCACATGTCCCGTCCATTGCATACTTCTTTATTTAATCATCTTAATGTTATTAAGAGTAAGTGAGAAGCAGAAGTTATGAAGATCACGGTCAAGTAATTTTCAGATATATTTTCTGCAGTTCGTACTAACTTCTTTCGTATTAATTACATAATTTATTACAAATTTGTATATTGTTATGAACTTCAATATTATCCGACATTCATGCCATGAAGGGAACCAAGGATGACTAGAATGAGGAAACTAACAAACATGAAGGGTTCTAGTTAATTGTAGCACTTAGGTTGCATCCAAACGAACTACTTCGTATCTTGCAAAGCCTATGGGACACATTTTATTCTGGTAATTGTTGTGGATAATGACTGATCGCTTTGCAGACCTCCAGAAAAAGAGCTTGCGGCTGTAGTTCACTTCACTCACCTCAAAAGTAACATGCAAGCCGCCGAGGTCAAAACAGCAGGAGGAGGATGTTTTCTTTTTTCCATCATGTCCATGCCGTTTCTGGGTCTCACCCAGTTTCCCATCAAAAGCTATGGGGCTCTTCCTCCAGAGATAAAACGGTCGAAACGCGAAACTATCTACTGACCTTCATCAAGCACCGAGGTGTATAATGAATTGGTTTTACTTCAATGTCGCCTATTCTTTTTCGTGGCATGGTACTTGGTCGCAGGGAACATTTTGTCATTCTGATCAGCAGTAGAAGCAACAGCAGCAGCAATGCAGTGGCAGTGGTAGTGGTAGTACTGACAGTGATATTGACAATAGCATTCGCGATAATAGTGGTATAGTAGGGGAACCAACAATAGTTATGGCGACTGCGGCGGAGACAGTAGTAGTAGTAGTAGTAGTAGTAGTAGTAGTAGTAGTAGTAGTAGTAGTAGTAGTAGTAGTAGTAGCATGCCTATTTCTTCGGAAACCTAAAGTGCTCGCAGCACGAGCGGCTACTGTCCTTATATCTATTATTTGACATGGTCCTCAGATATTTAAGTTACGGTACATTTTCGGATGATTCCTTGTATTAGTAAGAATATTTCAATAAAATTATGGAATTAAATGTGGACAAAACTACTATGCTGCAAAGTGGTCAGTGTATATTTATAAGTAATTTTCGTTCCACAATTAAAATTCAGTTAGAATTTAACAGGCCAACACATCCGTTGACCCCACTGTGTGTCGCGTCAGGACAGTTTGAGGTCGGAAGTCAAGCTTGACTCTTTAATATCTCGGCTTAGATGCCAAGCTCACTAAATTATCCCGATTCAAATGTAAAAAAAAAAGAAAAAAGAAAAAAAGAAGATATTTTGTGTATAGTTCAACACAATTTTACAAGTACCTATATATCCCATTTCTCCTTAACTACTCCATATGTCCTTCCATAACATTGGCGGCTGACTTCATTTTGCTGTATCTTCTTAATTTATAGTCGTGAAAGTAACTGGGGAAGTTCTCCTGCCCCTAAACACTATGCCTGGAAGGTATATACAGATAATGCAGGTAAAGCTTCAGGGGCAAGAGATTTTTCTCTACTGTACAGCGTTCAGACCGGCTCCGAACCCAGCTTCCTCTAAAGTGGGTACTAGGGATGATTCCCCGGGTGTAACGCATCCGGAGCGTGAAGCTGAACTCTAATCTCTATTTAATGCCGACGTCAAGAATGGCAGAGCTACACCTCCGCTCCCCCATATGTCTTCATGGCATAGTGCATAATCAATTAAGCACAGAGACTTTGCCTCTCTTTTATAGGATGCTTGTACTAATGCTGTTTCGAAGAAAATGTGAGTGAAAAAAGCTGAAGTCTCCGTGTAAACCAATTAAATTTGTAAAAATTCATACAAAAAGAATAACATAGAAACATCCCTAATTTTATGAGTATTGATGCTTGTGCTCTGCGGAATAAGTACGAAAATTTAAGTATGAATTTGTAAATGGGAGAAAAAGGCGTCGGAAACCTAACTCGGGGGCCATTACGGGCATCAATATGTCTAGTCGATGAAGACACGTAGAAGAATATTGTTACAGAAAGTATCGAAGTCAGGAGGAAACGTATCTTTGTTCACTGAAAAATAAGGAAGGTACCTCCTCTCACAGTTTCTTTTCTGTTCATCTAATAAGGAACACTTTACTGACTGTAAAGTTGTTTCGTATGTCTCAAAGAAACGTGCCCCCTTTCCACAGTTTACAAATCATAACCCTAAGAATCGTTGTCTATTCGGATGTGAAGTAATATGTTTGCTGTAGTTCCGAAAGCCCAAGGGAAATGGAAGAGAAGGCATGAAGAAAGGGAAGAGGCCGAATTCATGTTGTCAAGTAGCAGCTCTTCTCCAGTCGATGAAAATCATTTCAAAGAGCTGACAAGAGATAAGTTGATGCGTCTAGGACACAATGGAGCTACTTTGCGGGAGGAAAGTAAATACTTGTGAATTTCACATTGGAAACAAATATATGACTGCCAGCACTAGTAGATAATGTGCAAGTAGTTCCATAACTAAGACAATTGGTCGCCTGTTTCCCACCGCGGCGACCCGGCTTTGGTCCCAGGTCAGGTCATGCAGGATGTATCAGACAAAGTGGAAATGAGATAGGTTTTCTTCGTATATTTAANAACCGGTTAATCCGCCCCCGGATAATCGAGAGTTGACTGTATTTCAAATTCTACAGACTGCTCCAATCATTAATCATCCTATCACTCCACCCTATATAGCCTTGATACTGACATCGTTGTTAATTAACAAACTAAAAAAATATACTGTCGAAATTTGAACACAAAAGGTCATTTATACAACTAAACAGACCCATTGACTTTGGAAAAGGAAAGACGTCAAAACAATTAGCTATTTAGACTGAAGCTCTTACATTCATACAACTAAAGAATCATTGTTACTATAGCACAGGTGGTGTTGGATTGAACATATGTCTACAGAAGTCGCAGTGTTAATTTCGTTGTTAATAAACAGACCTTACAAAATTCATATTTATTTGATTAATAATTCTAAATGTTTTCCCATAATCTAAAATCCATTGGAAAAGTTGGAAGATAGGCAATTCTTCATTTCTTCCTGAAGGGCAGTAATGAGACAGTTATGCAAGTAATATGGTATACTAATAAAACAATTTGAAATCACAAATAGCATAAAAATCACTAATGAAGGAAGTCATTAGTTAGCTGACACATGGAAACATGATTCTTGTAGGATTATTAGAAGGGTCACAATAGAACTAGAAATATTATCATGGTAAACCTGTCCTGAAGGGCTATCTAGACCCTCGTAGCAGCACCCTAAAACCTAAAAGGAATGACCATTTTGCTTATTTTTATGAACTCTTTTATTTGTTTCAGGGAACCTCATAACAGCAATAGCACTGCTCTGTTGTTCCAAATTGCGGCACCATGCAACTACTGCCTTCATAATCAGCCTCTGTGTGTCTGATCTGCTGTTCTGCAGCATCAATTTGCCTCTCACGGCTTCACGATACATCAATCAAGCCTGGGTGCTGGGTTCCACACTTTGCAAGTTGTTTCCATTCTTCTTTTATGGCAATGTCGCTGTGTCCCTTCTTAGTATGGTGGCCATCACAATTAACAGGTACAGTACAGAAGGTTATTAGTATTTAGAACAGACAGTAATAAGATATGTGTATATATATATATATATAATATAATAGACCTGTTAATAAACCATGTATAAATGATATATTGTGGGACTAGCAATTTCAGCAGCATTCCAAAGCACAGAGAGTGACTCCCTGGCATCCCAAACTGTAAATGATAACAAACCCAATAAAGTATTCAGTCATTCATTCAAACATATAGAAGAAGACCAAATAATCATAATTTGTTTGTAGAGATTTTCACATTATTTCTTTTCTTAAACCAGATCTTGTCCCGTGCGACCTTTATTTCCTTTTATTTCCTCAGATGAAAAGAGAACTCAAGGCAGTACGTTTGTGGCACACTGATTCCAATATCATTAGTCTGATCACTGGATAATTTGTTAAAAGAGAAATATAGGTCTAATGATGGACTACCTGACTTTTCCCATAATACATATTATGGATTTCATTTCAAACACCAGATAGCATTTATATAACTTAACTTAGACTATAAAGCAGTAAAATCCATTAAGTGTCAAGTGGCAGCTTATTTGTATTTTGTATTTGTATTTATTACACATTCCAGCACATCCATACAAGGCCGAAGCCATTGGATACTGAACCTGTCACACCACAAGCTTGCTAAATCAGAAAGTAGTCAACAGAACAATGCATATAAATCCACAACAATAAATTGAGCATATGAAACCCTTACACATCACTGCAACTATATAACCTACCATGTGTATATAACATACAATGCAAAATTAGGATATATACATGACTATAGATCAAATAATGTGTCATAGCTAAACAAGAAACTATCCCTAATTAAAATATTCATCTAAAGTGTAATAGGATATAGTATGTTAAAAGGCATTTAAATCTGCTCTAAATTGCTTAATATTATGGATTAGTTCTTTTATATTTAAAGGAAGATGATTAAAAAGTTTTCTGGTAAGTTGTAAAATTTGCCTGAGGGCGATAACGATCAAAATTATGCCTAGTATTAAGGCCATGAATTTGTGATGTCGTGTGATATAAACCCATATTATTCACAACAAACATCAATAAAGAAATTATATATTGGGACTGCAATGGCAAAATTCCCCAATCCCTAAATGCATCTCTACAAGAGTCCCTAGATCTCAGCCCACTCATGGTTCTAATTATTCCCTTTTGAATTCTGAAAATGTGCATACTATAAGAAGAATTTCTCCAAAAAATATTTCCATAGGTCAAAAGTGAATAGAAATAAGAGTAATACACAATTTTTAATGTCTCTGTGGACATAATGGGCTTGATCACCCTCAGAGTAACAAGCCTTGCACAATTTAGGCATGAGTTGGGATATATGAGCTTTCAATAGCTAATCCCAAAAATTTCACATTTGTACTACTTAAAATCACATTATTATGATAATTAACATAAGTTATGCTATTAGAACTTGGCTTTGTCATAAATTGAACATGTTTACTTTTGTTAAAATTTAGAGTTAATAAGTTTTGAATTAAACCAATCATTAAGATAAGCTTGGATTACGAATTCCAATAGAATCTTATCAAACCAACTATAAATATTTTAATGTATTGGAACAGCCACTGTGGTTGTAAAGACTTTAGATTTTACACCCAATTGTATATTATTTATATTGTATGTATGTATTTTAATTTTTAGAACATGTACTGTAATAGTGGCTTCTAACTGTATTGATGTAAAGGTGTCCCTCTGAAGACTGAAACATATAAGGGCATGAATAATTGAAATAAGGGAAAAAAAATCTTAACCAGTCACACTGGATGGAACTATTTAGCTTTTTCATAATATTATTAGTGTGACAGACCAGAATGAAACAAATCAAAGTAAAGATCTGTTTTATGTCTACAAGAGATACTTATGCCAGGAGTAATCCATGAATTATTATTTAATTATCCGTTCTTTTAGAGGAAAACTTGGAACAGAATATTCTGCAAAATAAGTTAAGAAAAGAATTATACATTGTATTTACGTCATTAGCACCAAAGACAGAGTCCAAAGTTTCAAAACTCAGCTTATATTTGAAGTTCAACTCAGTAGTGTGATCAGTTGTCATTATTATTATTTCCCCTTGACACTTCCATTCTTAATAAATGCTTTAACTTCTGTTAAAATAATTAATTGTGCATCATGGTCAGAAAGCCCATTAAATAAGGGATATATTACATAACTCCCTGCAGAGACGCATCAATAAATATATTATCTCTTGCAGTTGCAGAACCATTCTGTAATCTTGTTGGAAAATTCACTGTACTCAATAAATTGAATGAAGTTATAACAAATCCATTTTCTTCTTTTTGTTATTATCAGTTAGATAATTAACATTTATATCACCACAAAGAACTACTTTAGTATTATTTCTAAAAAAAAAAAACAGTTGAATATGATTTGTTTCATTCTGGTCCGTCACAATAACAATTACAAATTATAAATCACTCTGTCCAATGTGACCTGTAAGTTTTTTACTACATAAGGCTACTACATAAGGGTGTTAAGTTTTTATGTAGTAAAAAACTTACAGGTCACATTGGACGGAGTGATTTATAATTTGAGATTAAGAATAGATTATAATTTAGATAAAAATAGAGTAAAATTATGGATCTACGATAGTAACGTAATTATTCAAACATGTTCTCTTATTCAATCTTTGTCTCTTTGGTAACATTTTCATTTGATAACATTATACTACATGTATATTGTCATACGAAAATTCTACTGTCTAGTAGAACACAAATTTCATTCTCTGATCTTCCTGTCTTTGGACTGCTAACATTAAATTATGTACTTTAATTTCTACAACATGCACCAAGGAAACTTTCTGTATTCTTTTGCTAGGTAATGAGAAATTTCTCGATTATTATGTTTGATTTCAGATACATTCTCATTTCATGCCACAGTCTGTATGATAAACTGTACACTCCACGCAACATCTGCCTTATGTTGGTGTTTGCCTGGTCATTCAGTTTTTCCATGATGATACCCCCATTACTGGAAGTATGGGGTCATCTTGGATTGGATCCTCCAACATTCTCTTGCACAATCCTAAAAAAAGATGGGAAATCACCAAAGAAGATGTTGTTTGTCCTGGGATTTATACTGCCATGTGTTGTCATCATTTTGTCTTATACATGCATTTACTGGAAAGTTCGCCAGAGCCAAAGAAACCTCCAATCTCACAAGTAAGCTTTCAAAACTATCACATTTAATAAAGGCTACAAGAAAACTGAAGAGAAAATGTTGAGAATACAAATATGACATCTGCAATGTGTGAACAGTAAACTGTGACATGGCATTTGATGTGTAATGAAAACTTGCCAGTGAACTCAAATATTCACTTCCATAATAACCTCAGATCTATACCTTGGTCTCCCAAAATGGTTCTTGGTCCAGAATATTGGATTTATCTTCAACTGTGTAATATTTCCAACCCATTACACTAAATTAAAATAGTATTTAAAACAAAACTAATCTTTTTATACTTTTACATTTTATATTTTTGACTTAAAGTTGTCTTCAGAGAATGATATAATGTTTGAAAACCATATGAAGTAGTGGGAAAATACATATTTTGGGTGTTTTGGAAACATGTGAAAATAATAGAATAATAAATAATAGAAGAAATAAAAATGATTCTCTAAACTAAGTCAATTCTTAATTTTAACATGAACCTAATTGTTATTAAATTTTGTGCACATGTACTTGGGAATGTTTTCATCTTCAAATGATTCAGTAGCTAATATTGTACTATGACCATACCGTGGATTTAAGTTAGCAGAAAAGCTCATCTACATGATTTTCCTGCATTTCTTTCAAAATAACTGGCTGAATTCAAAGTGTGAAAATGAACTTTTTAAATAGATTACATTCTTATACTGGTTTATAAAAGAAGTCCCATATTGTATCTTGCAACAATTAAATTTTTACCTACTAAACTAACATTGGTCATACAGGACACTGACTTAGGCCATTCCAACTCAAAGATTCCTTTGGGTTTTTCTGCCTGCATGATATATACATCAAAAGAGCACTAAGGAATAAATCATCCCTTTCTTTTAGATTATTTCAGAATTGGAAACAGACCTGATAAATACTTACCTACAAGGGCTTCACTTTTTATTCATACACAGCAAACTTATCATAAGCTTATTTTGTCTTTTAACATCTGCAAATTAGGAAAATGTACAAATTGTAGGATTTGGGGTTCTCACATCAGTCGTTAAGAAGAGTCCTATCTTTTGGAATATAATGCCATGTGATCTACTGAGTCAACTGATTTTTGCAGGAACATGTCACCTCCATCTTCAGGGTCAAAGAAAGTTGCTTGTTACTGTTTTCATGCTGATTTCTTGCTTGGTTAATTCTTTGACCCTGAAAATGGAGATGACATGTTCTTCTCAAATGTCAATTGACTTCCAACAGACAAGGTATTATAACCCAGAAGATATAACTATTTTATACAGACTGTTGATCTAATACACTAAATTCCATAAAGATCATCATGTATTAGGTTCTGTGTAACAGTGGTAAGATTTCACAGAAATGAATATAGCTAACTTAATGGATTGTACACAAATTAATATACAAATATTTAGGCAAATGAAACAAAATTCAGAACTTTACATATAATGCTAATATGAAACTAAAATGAATATTGTGTCAGCAGTGCAGTGAGACCCAAGCCAAACAGTGTGGGGCCCCAATTCCTGCAGAGACGTGAGGACATTCGACTGACACGTCTCATGCTTACAATCTTTTGCTGCTTTCTTCTCTGTTTCCTACCACTGATGCTTGTCAATGTTGCAGATGATGAGGTAAGAGAAACTGGTATAATCTCCTCTTTGAACTGTTGGTACTTATTCAGCTATTAAAGAAATTCCTTGTTACATCTGCCGTAAAGATAACAACTGTAATATATGCTAAAACAATGGAACATCATCATCAATGTGACTATGCCCCGAAAGAAAAAGTTACGTATTCCAAATTGTTTGTTTCAGATCCATTACCCAACAATTCACGTGATGGCATCAGTCTTGGCCTGGGCATCTAGTGTGGTGAATCCATTCATTTATGCAGGCAGTAACCGCCAGTACAGAGCTGCCTACCATAAACTTCTGTGTTGTGTGGGCTCACCAGGACATGGAGATACAGATTATCAAACAGGAGCTCCAGCTGAAGGAGGCGGCCTTACCCATTCTCACTCAGGCTCAGGAAAAACTTTCATTACAGATATGTTCCAATATAATGCAGCCACAGACAATGTCCATACAGTGAGGGCTAATGGCAATGAGTGAAATAACAACAGAACAATCTGTACTGTAAATGGTGTTATAGTCTCATTGGTCACTAAACGATTGCCAATTTGGTTTCTCTGGGGAATAATTCACAGTAATTTACAGTTGTGCCGGTCACGGTAGCTGAGCGGTCTAAGGCATGTACTGTCTTCGCACGCTTGGAAAACCAGGATCATGGGTTTGAATCCCACTCAGGGCATGGATGTTTAGTTTGTGTGTGCATTTTTCTGTGTTTGTGTACAGGTAGAGGCCTTGCGACAAGCTGATCACCCACCCAAGGAGTCCTACCGAATGTGTAAGATGTAGAAAAACCGAAGTGAACGGAGAAGTTCATGGATGTAGGCCTAGGTCCACTGGGGCTGTAGTGCCAAGAAAAAAAAATTACAGTTGCACATTAAATGGCTAAACCGTAGCTCTTCTACAACATTCTCCAGTCATACACTCAGACCAGACAATGCCCATAAGCTGAATCACCCTGTGTAGAGATTTACACTACATATTGTGGGGTGGACACAATTAATGTAATAGTGTCCAAATGTGATTAATGAACCTGTTTTATTTCCAACAGTACAGTATAGCTGTACCATGAAACAAGCTGAATATAACAATATTAAAATCATTGAACTGTTTGTGCTTGTTTGGAGAGTGTGTAGTGCAAATTAGATAGAATGCTCTCTTTCAGGATAACTAAGAAGCCTAAGCAAAGAAAAGGTGAGAAGGATAAAATTACGGACTGAACACACTTAACAAATAAAGGTACATTTCCATTTATGTGACAGCAGCTGAATTTGCATAAACTGAAGGTGGCTAGGCCAAATATTCCCCTCTCCACCACTCATACAATTCCCTGTTCTCTCTTCTCCCTTCCTATCTCAATTGGACAGCAGGCAACTCACACTGAAACAAGTGTTACTAATTTATGTCAGTCTGAATTAGTTGAGTGCATTAAAATGAATTCTCATTTGTTCAACTTGTAGTTAATAAGGAATGCCAATAGTCTTAATGAGCATTAAATAAACTGTATGTTATTATAAATAAGAATAACTGCTTTGCATATTAGGTGAAGACTTTACATTCATTCAATTGGCATTATTTATGTACAAAACTAGGGACAATGATTTTATCATGGTAACTGCTTTAAGTTGCACACACAACTAGTTTACTTGGCATTTACTTGGATACTCCCAACAAAGATATGTTCTTGTACCATCACATTCACAAGATTTCCTGCTTGTATCTGTAATTATATTTGCATTATGAATCAGTATGCTATAATAATCAGTTTGTCCCTCGTGGTATTTGAATTTAGTAAAAAGAAGCATGAGAAAACAATCTTACTGAAGACGCAGTATTATGGAATACAAAATAAAAGCATGAATGTCACAGAGATTAGGAAATTAAATATTACAAAGATAAAACACATATTTGGCACATAAATATTTATTCCATTTATTTTTACAGTGATGGAGCTATAAACTGTTCTGCATCTTGCTCCTGATATTTTATTGTATGTGAATATCCAACATTTTTAGGGAGAAGTGTTATAAAATATATTGTAGTTGTCTGTACAATCCTTCATTGAGTTTCATATTTATTTCCTTTCGTCATCAAAATCTTTGAGATCTGGAAGAATAAAGAATCACTCACTAGTGATAAAATATATAGGGTAATATCTGTAGGATCTACCATAATATTAACCTCTCATGTGTATGTAGGTTTCCCTGGCCAATATTTTATATATACATATCTCTCATTTCAAAAAAGATCTCAAAAGAGCTTTACTCTTCTACCCAGAAGATGGAGGCAGAACATTTCTTTGAAACAATGGTAACTCTCTACCAGACTACACGGTGTCACATCCAAGATGACAGTAATCTACGTTGCTCAACATGATATTTCTAGGTGGTCTTTCTCAAAATTTTCCCAACCCCCAGTTACCAACGTTCTTCTAACACACAATAAGCTCTTGATCTTCTCTCCAGATACGACTCATTAGGTCATCTGATTCTGTGTTTAGATCTACACAGTGCAACAAGATGCTACAATTATTTAAGCTGTGTTATCACTCTACTGACTCATTAGCATCATACAATATTTCTTGTTTTTTGGCATCACAATTTAATTTTCTTTACTTTTTCACCATTTTTCCATCTATTTATGGTTTTTCTGTGCTTCTACATTCTTCAACCCTTTGATGTCTTCTTTTCCTGCAATTACTTGCTTCTCTGGAGATATTATACTTTTTTTTTCCTGAAATTTTCTTTCTGTACCTCCATAATAGTCATAAGGAAAACTTAAAATGCTATGGATGTATTGTGTAACGTGTGTATATCTGCATTACATAGGCTTTACTTCTTTTTTTTGTGGGTTATGACACCCTATGTATATAGGCTATCCACCATCAAATGGTAAGAAGTAGTCAACACCTAATCGAGATACTATCCTGGTATTTGCCTAGGAGGGCTGAGGAAAACTGAATGTCTCTTATAAAGTCCTCTATATTACACAATGATCCAGACTATATGCTGTTGAATGGCAGAATGATTTATGAATGGTGAAGTGGAAAGAATATGGAATAAAGCAGTTGTGGATGACTGAAGTACTATCCCAGAATTTGCCTGAAGGGACTGAGGAAAATTATGAAACATCTCAGTTAGGACAGCTGGTGTCCTGGCCAAGATCTGAACCAAAAACTTCCGGAATAAAAGTCTAGGGCACTACTGCTATATCAACTGCTCAATGATGAAATATTCTGTGTATCTGTATGATTGTTAAGTCAAGAAATGCTGAGAGATGATAATGACAGACAACACCAACTGTTGGAACACTTCCAGCTTCAGGTTGGCTTGCCCCCAACACTATAGCAAAATATCAAAGATAGGAATTGAGGAAAATACTGGTACAGGTCATCTGCAGCAAGGTCTGTAAATAGAGAACAGAAATGCAACAAAACCAGTAGAACCAAAAGGAAATAAACAGACCACCACCATCCAGGCAAAACACACATGCAGAGGAATGCACCTTGTTTTAGGGGGTTAATCCATCATACCCACTTCATGTCCAAAGTGGCACAGTGTAGCACTATACTGCACAGTTCCATCAAGGAACCTCTAAAAGAAAAATGTTCCAAACTACTGACATACATGACACCACATAACAAACAGATGGGAGAGATGAGAAAAAAGAGCTCTCTGGATTTGTGACTTGGAACAGATCTTCAAAAGCAAGAACAAAAAAAAGTTTCAACTATTCCAAAGCAGTCCACAGGATGGTTAACAGTTTTGGCTTCTACACATCAACTTATTTCTAGATCAAATCCCCATTATCCAACCTGCACTTCTTACAATGACTGTGGCCTTGGGCAGCATCCTCTCCTACCCATTTTCAACAGTAATGCAGGATATAGGGCAGCATAAACCCACCCATTCTTAAGCTTGGAGTCAACTTCCATCAACGAATCCGAATTTCCACACCTTCCAAAACCCATAGTACAGGTTTGCAGTTCTCCCCAAGGAGGAACTGTTGGGGCAAGGGTACATCAAACAAACTGTCAACCACAACACAACCACAACTTCTGAAAAATGTCATTGTTTTCAAGCAGGCAACTGGTTTCCAGATTAGCAGGAGCACACTCAGGAAACTTATGTTTGATTAGTTGCTCACATCATCTCATGTGGGTGTGTTCATCTGATTTAATGCTTGAATGTAATTTTTAATTTTGTGCATTTCTTTTCTCCAATGTCAGATAATAATACTGAGCCTGTCGTAATATGGTGGTGGTTGAATCAGCATAAGAGATGACAGGAGAAAAGAAAACATCGGGTGCCTCTGTTCTTCCGTGACAATTTAAACTCAGGTGAGCTGTGCTGAAGGTCAGCCTGCTCTGGTGTGTGACGTCATGGCGTCTGCCATTCCCAGATTCCATCTTCACCCCCATAGGTTGACGTATTATCCTCGTCATGTCTGCGTATCATGTGATCTTCTATCCCTCTTCTGACGTCTCAGAAGGAGACGAGACCTGCTTTGCGGTCTGTCAGACTACATGGTCCTGAGTGGATGCTTACCAGCTAGCGGCGATTGTTACTGGAAATTCTGTTTCAGCCTGGGTACCTCTAAATTGCTTTCGGTACATCTTCCATGCCTGGCTGGTAAGGTAAAGCTGCCCGCGACTGCAAGCCATTGGCTTAGAATGGTTGCGATGTGCATATGTATTTATTTATTTTTATTACTATCTCCATCTTTCAAACTTGCCAAAATGCATAAATTCAACAGATGAGAAACATATCCATATAAAATGCTTTCTTAAAACTGGATCACTATACTTCAACTACAAGGGCTATTTTTATGTAATACTACTGGCATGTGCAGATGCTGATGCCCTATTTACTACTGTTCATGTCGGAGATCTTAGCAAGAACAATGATGGCTCTGTGTTTAGGGCTTCTACCCTTGGAGAGAAGCTGGAGAAGGAAGAACTGCATACCCCATTTCCAACTTCTCTACCACTGGATGACAGTGACAAAACATTTCCATACTACTATGTAGCAGATGAAGCACTTCCATTGATAATAAATTTAATGAAACCTTACCCGAGAAGAATGATGACTAACAAAAGACTCTCTTGTGGCCGAAAAAGTATATAATATGCATTTGGTATATTAAGTGCCAAGTTCAAGATTCTAAGAGACCAATATATTGCAAAGAAGAAACTGTAAATTCAATCATTAAAGCATCTGTCGTCTTCTACAATTTCACTGGAACCCGGGAAGGGCTAGTTTGCGAAGGAGCTAAAAATTATGCAGTAAATCACTCAAGTCATATTTTAAATGATGATGGTGATGATGGAAGGCAAAGATTATCGAGGGCACAGTGCTGGTGAAATCAGCTGGCAGATTACTTCTTAATGCCAGCAGGAGCAATTACACCTAAGTGGAGTTACATTAATTGAATTTGACTAACAATTGTTGAGGATGAGGACTAATCTAATTGCTGATATGTACCACACAGCATAGGCAATATTGTATTTTTCTGTTTGCACTACTTTAGCAGACCTATCTTGCATTTGGATCCTATTATAAGTTTTGATTATACTCCATCTCGTGAGAAATTCTTTCCCAAGCCAAATCTATTTTGTCCCACCTAGCACAGAATGGGTGATGTTTGTCATACATACCAGGCTCT